GCTCCTGTTACTGCTCCTGCCGATCTAGAAGTTAGAAAACATGCAAATGTGAGTAGATAAATAGATAAATAGGGAGTAAATAAATATGTACCACATTGATGAGAAGGTAACAGCATTCCACGCTCCTTGGCATATAGTCATGCTGGCCACATGACCACGGAAATGACAAATGTCTTCAGCTGGCTCCCTCAGCTAAGAAACAGAGATAAGTACCGTGTCTCCTAGAGTTGGAAACGATTGGAAAGGAGAAACCCTTACCCCCATTTCCATCCCACCTCTATCTTTCAAATTTAGTCTCTCATTAGAGCATGAACAACAGAGGTGAATTTTATATGTTGACAGTCTAGGAAAGCTTCAGTGTAGGACTGTACAGTGAGGTTATTTCCTGAGAAATTTATTGACTGATAACTAGAACTTCCTAACGATTCACTAGATTTCTTTGCAAACTATACCAACTATTCCTCCGGAGCATCTTTGGTTTTATTTCCAATGGTGCAGTCAAAAATGTACATGAGAATATAGCTTTGGTATTTTTCCCAGAGAGGTAGAATGTCACCATCAGTCAGAGGGACAGGGGCAGGTCTAACAATCAAAGTTAAGAACCATTATATCCGCAGGCAGACCAAGCATTCTTTCTGACTGTGCTTATTTCAGTTTTGAGCCTGTGAGCTCATACAAGATTCCCTGGTGTCATCATTGACCAATTAGTGCAGACACTAATGCAGACATTCCTCAAATGTCCAGATTTATGAACAAGACTTTCAAATAGAGCTTCAGAACTATTCCACCACTGCATATAGAAGCAAATGAGGCCAGGCATGATCCAAATAAGAGACAAGCAAAATATCATAAGGATATTCTTATAACTGGAATTTTATTTGAAATAAGGAAGATCAGTCATACAATACTATATTTTACAATCACTTTGCAGATACTACTGTATGAGATCTGTCTGCAAAATCCAGACAACCACTAGATAGCAGCAAAGAATTCTGACAACCTAGTCCAGTGGTGGCGAACCTATGGCACACGTGCCAGAGGCGGCACTCAGAGCCCTCTCTGTGGGCACATGTGCCGTTGCCCCAGCCCAGCTTCCCCCGCAGCCCCCTCCTTACCAGTAGCCCCCTGGAGGAGAGTCACCCCCGGGCGTGGCCCGCTTGAGCAGCACAGCCAAGGACATGGCAGCTGGGCAGTGGGGGCAAGATTCCGCCCTCATGCTCTGCCGTGCACAGATGATGCGGGGCGCGGGCGGAGGGTATGGCCACCATGGTGCTGCTGGGCGGTCGGCAGGCAGTGGAGGCGTTGGGTGGCCCTGCAGGGCGGAGTGGGGGCGGCAGCAGTTTTTGGGCACTCGGTCTCTAAAAGGTTCACCATCACTGTCCTAGTCTAAAGATCTGAGTTTCCCTGAATTATATAAACAGTGTAAAATATATTTCAGTATTTGCATGTTCTCTTGCCAATCAGAAGCTACTGCAGAGAATTCAAAAGCAATTAGAAACCCCAAGCAAACCACTTCCTGCTGTCCATATAAATTTGTATAAAGATACAAATTTGCATCATCCAACTGAGTTAGAGATAATTACATGTCATGACGACATGATTGTGGGATGTATGGAATATATGTAACCAGTTTTCAGTCATTATCATAGATAGCTACTATCATACCATTTCTGTTATTAGTTCCCATATATCTACTGTAACTGCAATCTAGTATATGAATCCCATCCCTGCATAATTGCCAAATACATTAGTATTCACACATTAAAATATGATTCCTTTTCAGTGTCTGGACATTTGATTCCCCAGGTCACATAAAGCTCCCTGATTCATAAATATAAAAGTCAGCTACTTCTACTGCATGAACATCTGATATGCATTTCCTTCAGGAAGGAAGGAAGGCTTAAGCTACTATCGTAGTTACCTTATCAACTGACTATAGTATATATGTCCTTAAAGGCACCTATGACATTGATTGCAAAAGCCTTTGAACTATCTCCATTTTATAGGGGACAGGAGGTAAATAAAAAAAGTGAGGAAGTAGGGAGGGCTATATACTTTTCCAGATATACCTTGAGGTAGTTGTGGAGACTAAAAATATGGGCACCAGCCAACCAACCCAGTAATCTTATATTGAGTGTTGTTGGCATCTAAGGTGAATAAATTGACTGTGAGGAGATAAATGAGTCAGTCTTGTTATGTAGACATAGCCTTAAATTATTTCTACCAAAACTAAATTAAAGCATGTTTGGGATTTCAGTTACATAAATTGTATACATTTGAATTTCTTCTTATAGCACTTATTTGATAATGCACTTATTTGATAACATATTCAAGTCATAGCAAGACATACTTGAGACAATGTTTGTCAATGTAGTCAATGAACAAATAATATCAATTAGACCTCATTTAATATGATAGTTATCCAGTTTATGCCTCAATCACAGATGCAGAAGAAGAGGAGGTTGATGAGTTTTATGGTCAAGTTTAATCTGAAATCAGCGGAACATGCAAGCAGCATGCGCTACTTGTGGTTGGAGACTGGAAAGCCAAAACTGGAAATAGTAAAGACACGGTCGAACTGTACGGCTAAGAAACAGAAATCATTTGTTAGTTTTTGCCAATCTGGTCATTTCTTTATTGCAAATACAGTCTCCAAACAAAATTACACCTATTTATCTAAGCATTGCTAAATAGAGTACACAGAAATCCAATTTACTATATTATTGGCACAAGACTATTGAAACCTCAGTTGTAACAATGAAGACGTGGTCAAGGCTGACTATGGAGCAGTTCATGAACTTCTCATGTACAAGTTCCAAGTCGGGCTCAAGTTCAAGAATAAAACCAAGAAACTTCCATAATATGATTTTGAAGTTCTGAATTACATTGAAAGGGAACCATAAGAACTGTGGAATGAAAGCAAAAAAAGGTGTTAAGAATATGAAAAGAGATTGCCAAATATCAAGATTCAAAGTCAGTTGTTAGAACAGATGATGGAAGTTGCCAAGAACAGAAGCCAAAGCCAAGAAAAACAAAGGTATCATAAAGAAACTTAATTATTCATTTTATAATTTGTTTCAGAAAGACTTTGAAAGAGTGAAGAAGCAGAATTATACTAAATTTTGTAAAGATATCAAAGGTGGAAACAGACAGAAAAATAAAGTTTTAATGAAAAGGAGGCTCCAACTTTGAATTGTGAGTTAAAGGATTTCAATAGACAGATCGTACAAAGATGAAAGGAGTACAGAGAGTCTTCGACTTACAACATTTAGTGACTGTTCAAAGTTCCATCACTGAAAAAAGTGATTTATGCCTATTTTTCACACTTACGACCATTGCAGCATCCCCATGGTCATGTGATCAAAATTCAGACACTTGGCAACTGACTCACATTTATGACAATTGCAGTGTCCCGGGATCATGTGATTACCTTTTGCAACCTTCTGACAAGCAAAGTCAATGGGTAAACCAGATGCAATTAACAACCATGTAACTAACTTAACAATTGCCATGATCTGCGTTCATATAATCTTGACTTTGCAGTGTCTATTCCTTTTTTTTTTTCTTCACTGAGGCCTGACTAATGATTCACATTGGGGCATGAAGGACAATTTTAAAACATCAATAGCATAAGTAATAGAATAAAATAAACGGTCCCATTCTTTAAAAAAGCATGCAGGGGACAAAGTCAGAACATCATGGCTTCTAGTACTGTCTGCTCACTGACATATTGCTGTCAAGCACCTCTCCTATATTGGTAGGAGTAAATTTATATAGTACCTGTGTTTATATCTTAGCACCATGCAAGACCTATTTGTCTCCACAGCATCAAGTTTGGAAGAAAGGTCAGGCAAGAGAAAGAGAGAAAGGAACCTTGGGGCTCCCTGTTTTCACTTCCACACCTTAAGCACATCACACTGTCTTTCCGCTACTCCGGGCTGCCAAAAGGTTGACACCTCTTCCTTTAAAGCAACGTTTCTCAAACTTGGCAACTTTTAAGATGTGTAGACCAATTCCCAGAATTCCACGGGTCTTAAAGAGTTGGAAAGTTTGAGAAACACGGCTTTAAACAAGCCGTGGGGGGGTGGAGGTGGGAGAGCGTTGTTATTTTATGTTTTAGAGTTTAGACATTTTTTTTAAAAAATAGATTTAGTAGTAAGGCTATTGGATCCAGGCTGCAAACATCCAGATGACTACTAGATGGCAGTGCCGTTTTCTGAATCTCTTTGCTGCACGCTCCTATCGGTGCAAATTTTTGCAACCCGGGTCTGGGAGTTTCCGTTGGAGAAGCCCGAGCGCTTCAAATTCTTGTAACTTATGCAGTCATTAGGAATCAGGGGTAGGCAACCTCGGCTCTTTTATGACTCGTGGACTTCAACTCCCAGAATTCCTGAGTCAGCTATGCTGACTCAGGAATTCTGGGAGTTGAAGTCCACGAGTCATAAAAGAGCCGAGGTTGCCTACCCCTGCATTAGATCATATGCCGCAACAAATCCTTCGGACCTCTGATTTTGGATGACATTTTTTTTTTCCACGAGGGCAGGCTGCAACACTGCCAAAAAATGCCCGTCCGTGTCTATTACCAGTGTTAACACCTGTCAGATCCTGATTTTAAAAAAAAAGCCTTGATTGTTAAAGTTGCACAGCGGAGGGATAAACGATCACCTGATTAACTCGTCCTGTTCTGTTTCTAAAGTGTAGGGCGGGAGACAGCTCTTGTCAAATGGCCGAAGTGAACCTGGACGCCCCGCTCCCCTTCCCCTTTCCAGCTGACAACCAAGCATACCCAACCCCGCCGCCTGAACCGCTCTTGAGTCAAACGCTCCCTCCTCCGGCGTTATCGGTCGCACTTCCTCCCCCGACAGCCCTCTCTTGACTTTTTTTTTCCAAAATGAGACGTCCAACTCGGCGATTTGCATACACACAGTCTACTTCCTGGTGCGGAGCCTGTTCAGCAACTTACCTGTCGGAGCAAGGGAGGAGAGAGAAGGCGGAAAAAAAACTCCGGGAGGGGACAATCTGGGGAGAAGAGGAGGACAGACCAGACCAGGCGGCCAGGTGGTCTGCCCTGCCTTGCCGATCCCCTTTGGGGGGGTCGTCTAAGGTGAGTTGTTGAGTTGTTAAAAGCTCCCCTCCTGTTAGCTGTTGGCCCACTTTTTCTCTACTGCTTTTGTTTTTTCTCGGCTGGGGCCTGTTTCACTTCCTGACTGGTGATTTACTCCCGCAGCAGGCTAGGTGGGAGTGAGACCTTGGGACTCTGCCATTATCTCAGGCCATAAGAGCCCTTCCAAAATGCAGATCCAGGCAGATTCTGTTGCCAATAAATCCGTGTTGTCATCGGAAAGAAGGCTGAGAGGCCCAGGCTTTGGCTCTGGTCCATTCCACGGGCTTGGCTGAGTTTTATAAGCTTGACTGATTATGTGCCATCAAGCCGGTGTCAACTCTTAGCGGGCCCTGGATAGATATTTTTTTTTTTTCTGGGAGGCTCTGTTCCCAACTTGCTTCTCTTGTACCAGGGGAGAAATATGTAAAGCTGTTTTTATGCACGAAATACCCTCCTAAGTATAAGGCGTAGAGTAGATTAGGTTTCTTCTCTGATTTGTTGCCAAAATATTACTCAAAAATGAACTTGCAACATACCTCTTTGAGAGAGTGGAGACATTTTGACAAGGTAAATGCATCATGGTTAGGATTTATTTATTTGTTGGATTTGTTAAGGTTACCCAACTTCAAGAAAATTCTGGATGCCTACGTATATCATCTGAATAGAAAACAATACACTGCTTGTTTTAGTGATGTGTGCAAGGTTTTCTATTTGTACATTCTTTTACCACCTAAAATGAAAAAGTGGGTTAAGCCACAGTGGGTTAGTTAGGAAATAAGTCCCCAGTGGTCTCTCCCTATTAGATGTTTAATTGATGGGTATCAGGAGCAGGACCTTCTTAGTGGTGGTGCCTCAGTATGACTTTTCAAGCACTATTCCTGATCAGCCATGCTGAGACTGGCACAACTTTAAGGCAATTCTATATCCCACTATTCTCTCTTAATCTTTAGAACTGTCATCTACTTATCTGAAAAATCTGAAATTGATGGCACAATAGTTGAAATTAGAATTAGGGAGAAGGGAGTCTCAGTTAGGCTATGGATCTCTTACCATACTCTAATTTAGGAAGAATGCTTTGCTGAAAAAGCCTGAAAACCAAATTGCATTTCTCTCTCCATGACTGTGCTGTTGCATGCTCAGGCTAGCTTTACGGTCTATCTACCCCCCCTCCCCGTTTCCTATTTCCTAGCCGTTTCTTTCAGCTAACAGCATGGCCTTTGAAGCTGGAATCTACCTAACTTGCCATGTGTTACTCCACATTCTTCTTCTCTACTGTCAGAAAAGATTTAATCAAAAGCAGAGAGAGTTAGTCAGCCTTGTTCTTTGGAGATTTCATAGGCCAACACATGCCTTTAAAAGGGAAAGTACAGAGATTTCAATGAGGTTCAAATTGTCTTAAGAAATGCACAAACAGTTGGAGCACAAGGGATTCTGGTTTTTCTCTCTTCCAAAATGCTGGCCATGATTGAATATGAATTAAAACTTAATATGGACTCGTTCAGGGCAAATTACCCAAACAAATTATCTTATTTGACTCCTCTCCCCTTTCCCACTTGACAGCCTGATTGGATTCATTATCCAGCAATCATTTAAATGTGTACACTGCTGCTATGTGCTGGTATTTGAGCCAAACGGAAACAGCTCCCCCATCCCTGAATTTTTCATCTGCCTTCAGCCATACTGACAGGGCAGATGCAGGATGCATACATTCAACAGCTGGGTCTTTTTGCTTGTAAGGTGTGAGATTTCTGCATCTCAGTTTGTTGAAGGCCTTCAGGATTATCTACAGAAAGATTCTTGAATTGGATAATTCTAGACAAGGAAAGGAAATGAAATTAAAATAAGTGTTCTTAAATACTACAGAATAATATTGCTTCCTTGCTCAGATGTGGCAGTTTTACAGTCCATATAGATGTAAGCCCACCATTTTGAATTATATTTCAGAACTAGGTACCTGTGGACTTGATAGATGTATGTCTATTGTATTCTTCATTTCTGTTTAGTTTTGTAGGAGTTGAATTATAAGTTGACTGAAGGAATAGAAATGAGAAAGTGACAATATAATAAAGAGAAATTTGCTTTATATTTTTTAAATGCTGCAACTGTTTGGGTCAGGATGAAATTTAAGGTGATACTTCAGAGACTCAGAATAGTTTTCTGATTCAACTTATTTCTTAAGAAGTTTCATTGAAAGGTGAATCTTTATCCTGTAGAAATAAATACATTTTAAGTCTTTTTTCTGAAATTGTGGAATTGACTGATATTACAATGTGTAGAACTCCTGCTATTTTAAAATCATTCTCAGCTGTTTCTCTTCTGCAAAAAGTTAAAAAAAAAATAATTTGGATGTGTTTCAGTTCATTACTGATTTTTTTCCCTTTATGCAACTGAAGAGTGAGCAAGGTTTGAAGAAATACTTCAAGTCAGCTCTACTGGAACTCATTGTTATTCTTCCAAACTTGGCAAGAAAATTAACCATGAAGAACATGTGCTTCCTCAAATGAAATGCATTGATTTTTGGACCAGAGAGCTGCACAGGTCAGAACGGAGAAACTAACACTCCATTTATTAGGATCCTAAGCCTGAAGGTTTTCCTCCCTTCGCTAATGACTGCTTCTGTGTGGTGGGAGTGAATGGGGAAAAGGAACTAATTCAGGGGTAGGCAACCTTGGCTATTTTATGACTCGTGGACTTCAACTTCCAGAATTCCTGAGCTGTACTGGCTCAGGAATTCTGGGAGTTGAAGTCCACGAGTCATAAAAGAGCCAAGGTTGCCTACCCCTGAACTAGTTGGTCTGCTGCAGTCTTTCTCAATCGTGGCAACTTTAGATGTGTGGACTTCAATTCCCAGAATTCTCCAGCCAGCATACAGTCCTGTGTAAATCATGCAGTTGCTTTTTTCATATTTAGAAGACTGAAAGTAGGGGCTTCCATAGCTTCTCAAAGTGTATACCTCATTGATTTTTATGATACTACAGAAGCTTACTGATTCTGATCAGAAAATGCATGCGTAATTTTGAAGTTGGGAACTTGATGATGAATATTTTAGCCATACATCACAACAAGCTTAGATACAATTGAGTTGAATTGAATACTTTATTTGACAAAGTGTGATTAGACAGACAAGGAATTTGTCTCCAGTGCAGGAGTTCTCAGTGTGCATGCAAAGCAACAGAATAATGATATAATCATAATACCAATAAGAGGGGGCAGTAAAGAAGATAATTAGAAGGATAAATAATACTACAGCTATACTACATGAGTAAATACAGTCAGACATTAGACAGAATTGTGAGAATTGGATGTTCTGCAGAGTGATGGAAAAAACTGTCCCCGTGTCTAGTTATTTTGACCTGCAATGCCCTATAGTGCCGCCCAGCCCTACCAAAAGAACAACTCAGATAATATATGTTTTTTTTAATGTTTCCTTGACATAAATACAAAAGCATCTTGTTGACTGAAGATGAGTTGACTAAAATGTATTTGTTTATTGTATTCTTATCCTGTCTATATTACTTTATATGTAACTAAAGGCAGTGAACATTCCCCATAGTCCTTCCCCTTCCTATTGTGGTTCCCAAACATCTGAAGACCTCTAAAGTGAAGAAAAGTGTTTTATTTGTTGACTACTTGTTTATTTAAATATTTATCACATAATCTATATCCATAGATCTCAGAGCATGATATAATTAATCAAAAGCAATAAGGCATAAAACAAGCATTGCTTAAATGGAATCCCATATGTCTTCCTTCAGCCATTTCAATGACTGGAAACTTGGAAATGAGCATATTATTACGCAAATAAATCTTTTTCCTATCTACTCTGTGAATGATGATCATAATTATTTATTTCTGTTGTGATTTATATTTTCTTCTTTTTACCCCCTAGCTACCACTTGCACTTGGTACCCATTTCCACAGATTTCCTACAAAATATTGAAATGACATCCTTACAAGGTTAGTGTTTTGTGTCGCCACTATGCAAAGCCTTTTATTCAGACTGAACCAGTGCCAATAAAACAGATCATGGTTGTCTATATGAATTGTGTCAAATGCGTTAGAAAATTTTAGACTTTCAAAAACCTTTGGGGAAGGTTTTGCCAGCTCAGTTCCCTCCACTGATTGACTAGGTCCTAAGGATTGGGTGGAAAGCAAAAAGAACTGTGGTGAAGAGACCAATCAAAGCTGACTATGAGAGTTTAAATTTTTTTCAGGCACCTAGGCAGGTGTTTGCCAAGTCAGGAGTCTCTTTAAAGTATTTCCATAAGATTCCCAATTATGTAATAAAATTCAGCCAATCCCAACTTTACCTTATCTTCCAGAAGTGTTGCTTTCATTTCTCAGATTTCCCATTTTATTGCTGGGAGCACATCTGAATCAGATATGAAGTACTTTTATGCAGAGTAAATAAAAAAATTGTACTGTATATTTTTTTTCCACTTTAGGTGCTACATTGGGTCGAAGTATGCCAGTTGAAGTGGATGAAACTATTGACTGGTCTCCATTTCCAGAACATTTACTGAAAGAGGCATTGAACCCTTCTGCAGAAATTATAAATAACTCAATGCCTATGGGATCTTATCCATCTCAAACGTCTCATCCGATGAATGGGCAACTAGGATTCTATAAGCACCTTGATCGTGTCAATTATAATAATGGCATACTAGAAACTGATGGCCACAGTTTTCCACAAGACATCTATGATTCTAGAAGTGGGCAATTTCCTGGCCCATCCAGCAACTCCACAGATCATTCAGAATGTAATCATTTGCCTCAACACAAAACAAACCAGCTCTTGAGGTCTCAACCATCCGCTGATTCTCCTGACATCGGGCACAGTTCTAGTAATTTGCAAAGAAGTTCATCTGAAATAGCCCAGCATTCACTTGGTGAAAGTCAGGAAAAGGCAAAGCCAAACTGGCAGCACGATAATAGGGTGCCAGTAGACCTAAGGATAGAAGATGCAGGATATGATTCTCAGCCTCATGATCCTCTGGGCATTGGACAAGCTGAGCTTCTCTTGTCCTTTACTTCTGCTTTGAACCTACAAGACCTTCCAAAGTCTCTGAAGTCCAGAGAATATCCACAGATGGACTCTCAGTCATACCCTTTATTTCCACAGATTCCCCATCTTTATATTTCACCAGAAGCTCAGTGGCGTCCAAGATACTACAATCATAATATGTACCGCCAGAATCCCTGTAAGCTCATTAGTGATAAATGGTGTTTCCATTGCTACACATGCATTGACTGTATTTTTGTAAAATGGTGGTCCTATTGGCTGGGTCCGTGTCATATTAACCTGTAATGTTGTAGTTCATTGGGGTTTGGTTTCATACGTTGTATGAATTCATTACGGCAACCTTAATCAAGTGATTCCACCCAACATAGATTATTCAATAAGCTACAATTAAGAAAATAATCACACATTAGTGTGACGTTACCATTATTTAATGCCGTGCATAATTTAATGAATAGCAAAGGGATGTTGTGCTTGCAGGAATCCCAAGCACTTCTTCCAAATTGGTTTTGAAGCATGTGCAGCCTTAGTGAGTTGCATGTGGGGTTTATTCGATAAAATGTGAATAAATAAAACCATGTCTTGGTGTAATGAGTGCATCCAGTTTGATCATACAGGTCGTCTTTGACTTAGGACCACAAATGAGCTCAAAATGTTTGTTGCTAAGTGAGGCCATTTTAAGTGAATTTTGCCTCTTTTCCCAACCTTTCTTGCCACATTTGTTAAGGGAATCCCAGCAATTGTTAAGTTAGTAACCTGGTTGTTAAGTGAATCTGGCTTTCCCATTGATTTTGCTTGTCAGAAGGTTGCAAAAGGTGATCACTTGATCCCAGGGCACTGCAACCGTCATAAATATGAGTCAGTTGCCAAGCATCTGAATTTTGATCACATGACCATGAGGATGCTGCAACGATCATATGTGTGAGAAATGGTCAGAAGTCCTTTTTTCCGTGCTGTTGTAACTTTGGTCACTAAACAAACTTTTGTAAGTCGAGAATTGTCTGTACCATCTATTTACTATGGAAAGGAATCTCATTTATACAATGGCCTGAATTTTTATTTTCTGTTATGCTTAGATGGGCAAGCCCCCTATCAACATTTGGCATGTTCACCTCAAGTGCAGCTTCCTCTTCCTGGCCCTTGTGCAAGAGTCATCCGCCCTGCTCAGCAAATAATCCCGCATTATTCTAGTCCATATGGACCCAAGTGTAATGAAGGAAGGCTGCCTGAGGGGGAAAGCTCTTCCGAAGGACTTCAGAGATTTCAGTAAGTATTTTCCAAGCCTGGAGCTTATTTCATTTTTTCAGGCAAAGTTAATTATGATTGTTTTAGCATCATATGTGTATGAACGGTATGCTAATCTCTGCCTGGATGATATTAACACATATATTGCCATTTCACCTGCATCTCATTTGCTCCTATAATCAAGGCTGATGGCTAAGTATATAGAAAAATAGGTTCTATTTCTGGTTACTGTGAACCAGAATTTCAAACTACTGATTTAGTCATTATTTGTTCCAAATTTAATCAGACAAGCTTAAATTTACTAAGCCACTAACTTAAAGAGAGCACTAGAAATGGACATTTAAAAAAATCATTTGACAATAGTTAAGTAAAGTGTATTTGGCCATTTCATTGCTAGTGACTTACAGCATCACTTGGCCATGATCGATGGGATATAAAGACTGTCATTGCTGTTATTTTGACACAACTTCTCATTGGATGATTCTTGAAGACACAGTAAGTCATTAGTGGAGAAACTACCTTAGCGTTTCATCTAAAGGTTCTGAGCGAAAGTGCAAACCTTTTGTATTTTTCTAAACTTCTCACTTCAAGAGTATAGTAATTTATTGCTGTGAGATCATCTACAAAATGTATATAAATCTAAAGTAATTTAAAACCTCCCTAATAATTTCACTGAGGCAAATTGAGTGATCTTCCCAGGCTGAATTGCCTTGTTGATATGAATCTCTGCTGCTTCTGACAAGCCTCTGATTTCTGGCAGGAAAACAAAATCTTACGTACTTTGATTCAGTAATTTTAAGTCTTTCTCCTTGTTCACCTTGTTAGCTTCCAGTTTTTTTCTAGATATAATGCTTTCTCTTTTATTGCCTCTTTGGATTATTCACCGAGAGTTAGCCTCTAGTAACTAGTATCTATGTAGAGTCACTAACTTATGGGATAAGTCAACCAGGCATAACAGAGCATAGGTGGGTTTGGGGTTAAAAGTGGGTGAAGTTTGCAGCAATGTAGGATTGCATATACCATCTTGTCATCTTCTAAGAAATTAGTTGGAAGGCCATGTGACCACTGAAAGCTGCAGGTTATTCAGTCTGGAAATAGATTGTAAACATTGCCCTTCAACACAGACAATTCAACTTGCATAGTAAGGATGTATGTCTGCATGCCCACATATTGTATGTTACTGCTTCTCCTCCGGGGGCCAAGTCTATTTGAAATGAATGAGGCCATGCAATGCAGGTAGTGACTAACATACACGTGTTTCCTGCTCCAACCCATAATGGTGCTTTGACATCTCCCTTTGATTTACAATTCCCTGTTCACAAAGGATTGGCCACTACAGTCACCCTGACTTCAGGATTGATTGAAATCACAGAACTGTTTTTATCCCAGGGGAAGAGGAGATCTCAGATTCCTATCAAATACTTCAAGATTTCTCTTAATTTTTAAGATATTAAACAGAACAAAACAAATAATTGAAATAAAAAAATGCTAGTGACAGACCTTTTTTAAAATACTGATGGTCTTTTCAAGAGCTTGGATATATTTGGCATACAGAAAGTATACTTTAAGAAGTATTGATATGAATTCCTCCAATCCTTATGTAGAGCAACAAACTGTTGAACTAATTACCGTGTTTTGCTGAAAATAAGACCTATCCCAAAAATAAGAGCAAGCTTGATTTTTACAGATGCGCCTAATATAAGCCCTGCCCCCAAAATAAACCCTAGTTTTGGGGCCAGGCACATACATAAAAATCAAGCTAGGATGAGGATAGGGGTGTGGAGCTACCTCACATGCCCCGCACCCCTGCTTACCTTAGGACCACTGCAGCCAGGCCTCCCCACCCTGACACCTGTCGCACTGGTGCTTGAGTTCTGTGGCCGCTTGTGGCCGCATGCCATGTGGTGCATTGCGCCGGTGTTGCCACTCGTGGCAGGATGCCGCATGGCTTGTGGCAATCGTGCTGCCGCCACCACTCATAGCAGGACACTGAGTGGCTCATCACAGTGATTGCGTCAGTGCTGCCGCTTGCGGCAGGAGGCCGCAATGCGCCACATGGCCACCTGCCGTGCGCAGCGGCACTGGTACGATGCGCCACATGGCATGCGGCCGCAAGGGGCCACAGAAGAACTCAAGCACCAGTGCGACAGGTGTCAGGGCATGGGAGGCTGCAGCGGTCCTAAGGTAAGCGGGTAAGGCATCCCCTGAAAATAAGACCTGGTGCCTCTTTTGGAGGCAAAAAAAAATATAAGACCGGATTTTATTTTCAGGGAAACATGGTAGGACTTTTGCTTGCAGGATTGCACTGTCACTGAGCATCTTCAGTACTGGCAGGCCCCAAGTACAAATGGTGGCCGACTCGTCTAAATCCAGTCCACCCCAGTTCTGTTTCAACAAATAGGAGAAAGCTCAATTCATTTCTTTTGCATTTTAAAACAAAAGGAGCTTGTGGGTGGGGGGATGCTAAATCTTCCCTGGCTTATAAATGCAGTTTTTCCCGGCTTTCTCTGAACACAGAGAATTTTTATGCCTTTATTGTTAAGAAAGGACACCAAACATGTATTCACAAACGTTAGATTTGAACATTTTCCGAATTTACAGTCGTTTTTCTTTCTCTTCTCAGTGACCAGTGTCAGAAGCAGATGCTTGACAATAACACACCATTCAAAATAAACGGTGCCCATGAGGGCATAGAGAGAGTTCCTTTTGATTCCATGGCTCAGTCTGGCAGCATGTCCACCCCTGGGGCTATCCCAAGACTCCTGAATAATTCTGCAGCCAGAGGGACACTGAGGACCAGCAACTTGCCTGAAGAGCTACGTACGTCTCTGCTGTTTCCTGTTTGTTAGTTCTGTATATATTTACAGTATGTGCTGGAAATAAATAAGGATCATCACCCCCCCTAATATGTATCACATACCGTTTTTGCATTATTGAGTGCTTCTACTGATTAAGAGATTTCTAGAGCTATATTAATAAAAAGCTTGAAAGAACATTCCTATAAATCTTTCTGATTTATATAGCTAGCCTACTCAGCACATGACTCTGGAGGACTCTTTGTGTTTGCAAAGTGAAAAGAAAAGTGCCCAAAGATACCGAACAGAATTAAAAATACAAGCAGGGAGAAAGTTTTAAAAAGCTGAAGGAAAACAGTCTTTTTGAAGAATTTATCTTGTTGCTTCTTCTTCTGTAAAAAGAGGCCCAAGTACAGTTTCTTCCTAGATAAAGAGGAACCAGCTAGCTGGCAGATGCATTCAATACACTGAATGGGCATTAAATTTTGGACTAATCTATAAAGCCAATATAGATACTTCTTAAAAGGGAGGCTGTACTGGTCAGTGTTCTGATCCTTCACTTGCTCTACCTCTTAATTTATTTTGTAAGGTTCAGGCTAAGACTAGCAGAGTCATTGGTTATCAGAAAAATGTGACAGTGATAGCTTTAACAACGTTTCTTGTAGTTTAGTATAATGTACATAATGCTTTGTATCTGAAGAGGTTAGTGGCCACTATTTCATTTGCATTTGAGTGGATTAATTTCATCACCACCATGCATGGCCTCAAAAATGGCATGGGTTTCAAAGCTCTTGGCATAAGTGAAACAGGCGTTCTCTGCAAATTTGATCTGTTCTCCGACACTCCTTTTGGAGAAAATAAATTTATAAATTTTCCTCTGCAAGAACATACAATCAGCATAACGTAGTCTGCCCACGGCTGTCTGCACCACTGCATGCTAGTGGTGCATGCAGCTAACCCTTCTAAGTAGTTTTCAAGATCGGCCCTGTGCAGAATGGGTTACAATAGTCCACTTGTGAGATGGCCAAGGCATTAGTGACTGTTTGGAGAATCTCCTGGTCCAGGAAAGGATGAAATTGATGCACTAGATCAGGGGTGTCAAGCTCGATCACATCGCGGGCCATATATTGGGATGGGTTTTGCTCTTGTGGAGCCGGGTTGGGTGTGGCCTGCACGGGCTGCATCTGGCCCGTGGACCGCATGTTTGATATGCCTGTACTAAATGTACTTGTGCAAAGGGCCTCTTGGCCACATCTGCCATCTGCTCTGCAGCATATCATCGTCATGGTTCCGACAGATGAAACTCTTCAAAGAACTTCGAGGCATTGTTTACCTTAAAGAATCTTTATTCGAGTAGCATAGCATCGGCACGTACATAGGCAAAGCCAAAATCTGAATTCCCCTCCCCTGAGCACATAGTATCAAAACACAATTCCCTCCTCTAGTTAACAGTCATAAATCACATTCTCCAATTAGTTTGAAATGCAGGCTTTCCCTCCAGTTCTTCAACCCGGCCATTTCTTATCATCTCTTATTACAAAAAACCTTGGTTCTCACACTAGTTACAATATTGTTATGTCTAACTAAATTCCCATGCACATTCCTCCTCCTCCTCCCCCCCCCAGTATCATCTAATTCTAACTCTAATTCTAAGAGTAAAACATAAGAAGGAAAACGGCTGCATCTCCATATGTTGTCAAAGCAAGAACATTCCGATGTTAGCAGCATTGACAATCATCTTGCAGCTACTCATGGTAGGCTGCCTTTGGAATTCAGAACTAGTTTGTTTCAAAGCACACCTGTTTTATTTATTGATAATTATACTTCTCCTAGGTAAAGTCTTTATAACCTATTCTGTGGATGCAGCTGTGGAGGTCATGAAATTTGTGAACTTTTTATTTGTAAATGGATTTCAGACTGCGGTAAGTACTTTATTTTGGAAACCTGAATCACTGCAAAGAGAAAAAAGAGAGAATATCTGAAGAGAGGCAATTCTAAATTCAAAGTGGTATTGTTTGTTTTTAATGTGCCTGTCTGCCTAAATATTGTATATTTTATAATGAATATTATATAAAAGAGACAGGAAATTCATTTGTAATACATGTAAATGTGAATTTAAAGTGGATGTATTGAGTGGAAATCACGTTTCAGAATTGTAACTTATTTCTAAAAGGTTTATCCAGCAGCACCCTGCATGTGTGAACAACATTCACAGGGGTTGACTTCAATATTAGTAGGAACAGACCTACTTTCATGTCAACATCTTCCTCCAAGACTGAGTGAAACATACTCTGAAGTGGTAGATACCAATTAATGATGTGAAATGGCAGAAGTTGGCCTGGCATTTTGTAATCTATGCACACAAGAAATTTGACTTACTCTAACACGAACAAAGGAGGGCCATTTTCTGAGACTCCTAAAGATCCTGGTTGGGTCAAAATAGTATGCAGTATTTTAATATGATGCTCATAGTTTTGGCAAAATGTGTCGTGTGAACTTGAGCACTGTGGTTTGTAAACCATGGCTTATGGCAGGCGAGTATAACCTTTGGGGTAGATGAGGTCACCATTGGGATGGCACAGGTGCAAAGTGGGCAAGGTCTTATCGCACAAGTGTGTGTGTTTTTTCCAGGGTGCATTGAGTTAATTTAACCAATTTCTCCACTAAAATGTAATCTGCAAAAATGTTACCAACCTGTTCTAAACGTAGTAGTGATTTTTTTTTTAAATGGACACTATTGTTGGGCTAGGTACATTTGCATTAAAAGCTTTTTAAATCAAATTATTTGCAAAGGATGCTAATGTTGAATTAAGGTTAAAGTAGCCTCGTAGAGAGCAGTCAGGGCTAAAGAAATCATATTAATATTTTCACTTTTTAACAGATTGACATATTTGAGGACACCATTCGAGGAATTGATATTATCAAGTGGATGGAACGTTATCTAAGTGATGTAAGTAAGGATAAAATGTAAATCTTGTACTTTTTTCCTGCATTGAATACATAAGTCTTCTTCCTAAGCCCCAATGAATTAAAATAGGAACCTATTCCCCCCTCCCCATGTGGCTTAATTATTAATGTTTTTCCTGCCCTGTCTCCTCCCCTTTCCTCAAATTTAAAATGGAAGCAACTGAGAGAAGAAAGTCTGGCTCTTTTTTATCAGTAACATTCCTTTCCTGAGCATTTCGAGGAATCTTTCTCTGAGTAATGAACTATCCATCTTGTCTGTATTATGTACAGGAATATACATGTTTTCTCTCTCTCTCTCTCTCTCTCTCTCTCTCTCTCTCTCTCTCTCTCACTCTCTCTCTCTCTCTCTCTCTGTGTGTGTGTGTGTGTGTAAGAACAAAAACATACATCAAGCACATCAATTAGCTATGCTGTATATTTTGGATTAGATTCAAAGAAACATATGAGCAGCAGTGAACTGCCAAGAGAACTTGATTTACATATTGAACTAACCCATAGTTGGGCATATTTTGCTTTTGACCAAGTAGGTCATGTAAACCAAGGCAATTGGGGCTTATTTGATAAACTGAGATTAAACTTTTGCTTAATTCATTATGTGAACCTAGGTTCTGCTCACTTTAATAATTTGATGAGATAGGTGGGTATGGGAAATCATAAACTGTAGATAAAAAGCAGTTTCCAAAGCTTTGTACCTAATGCCTCAACAATTTGCAAGCCAAAGTGAGTGGTAAATCCCCCAAACCAATATCCTACCAGTGTTCAGTGATAAACTAAAGGAAGTTTGTGCTACACTTCCAATAAGCTTCATACACCTACAAAAATGACACATATACTCCCCAAAGAACAAATTGATAATTTTGGCTTCATCGCCTTATTACATTATTGTCTTTTCTACCCCTTAGCGAACTGAAAATGATAATATAATAAAGCATGCTCTGCCAAGCAGAAAAAGTCATCCAGTCCTGCTGTAAATTTTAGTGCTCCTTCTGATTTCAGATGGGATACAAAGTAAAAAAATTTAAAGCCACAGTGTGAATTAGTACAGTGTATGAATCTAGTATTTATGGAAGGAGAACCTTAGTGATTATGGCTTGTTTGTTTTTAAACCTACCTCCTAAAAATAAGTTTTAAATCTTCTTCTCTGGAAAATAAGAGGTGTTTAATTTCTTCCACAGCTTCTTAGCTATTCCAAGCTGTGAGAATCAACATTATAAATATGCATTGTGTGTGTGTGTGTGTGTGTGTGTGTGTGTGTAGTACAGTATGCATAATTATGTCCAATAGGCTGAGTTGGTAAGCTTTGTGATTCAGCACAGCTAATGCTGAAAAATATTTTCTCTCACTGTTAAATTAAGCTGAGCTTCATGGGAGATCCAGGAAATCTGGTATGAGGAATTCCAATGTATACTGTACCGTTTCACTGCCAAAAGGAACTGGCTTGTCTTATGCTTCCAGGGAACATCAGATCACGTAAAATTCCAGCTGGCAGATTTCCCAGCTGTTTTTGCCCAACTGTACTGCATTTTATGATTTCACAAAAGTGTTTCTCTTTCTGACAGAAGACAGTAATGATAATCATAGCAATCAGTCCAAAATACAAACAGGATGTTGAAGGGGCTGGATCTCAGCTGGACAAGGATGAGCATGGTTTACATACTAAGTACATCCACAGGATGGTGAGTGAGGACACGTGTTTGCCATTTCAAAAAGAAGTCTTCAGCTTCTTCTTCTGCCAAATAATTGTCGCTTGTGCTGTAGTTAAGCCCTGCTTTGTTCATATTTAAAATTTTGCTTTCTGCAGTGCTTCTTAGAGGGCTCGGCAACTCCATGTTCTGTAAATGCAGTTGACTTTATCTGTGCCTTTGCAACCTGTTTAAATTCTTTCATAGCTTGTTCAGATCTCTGCCATGTGATCTATGAGTACTCATTGGGAACAAGGGAGGCAAGTAATGACATTTGCATCTTGACATCATTGTGCCTTGCCACAGATGACTATGATGTAAAGATATCTTATGCCTGCACTGAACATGTGGAACATACTGAGCTGCTACACACACACATACATACATACACACACACACACACACACACACATGGCAGACTGAAAAATACAAACAGAATTGTATTTTGAGGAATTTTTCTAGCTACACTTTCATATCCACCTGAGCTTCTGTGTTCTCTTTCTCTGTGCATTTGATCTTTGTCTCCCTACGGCTTCTCCATTGCCACAGAGACTCAGCTTGACAACACCTTTGAGGATTCTCTCTAGGGTTTCCTCTGATCAGATTGAATAAACTGCAACAGAGCTTCCTGCCTTTCAGCTACAGTAGGAAAGAAATACTGTAACATGCTTGTCTAGAAAGCTTCCAGCAGGACAGATTTATCACAGAGTGAGAGCAGACTCACAAGTACAGCTGGAGGAAAGGCATGTTTTAGATCTGCAAAGATAAGCTTCCTTCGGTGGCAGTGATGGGGAAGGAGGCAGAGAAGGGAGGAAAAGCTATTTGGCCCTTTATTAGCAGTGAATATCTTCTGACACAGATTTTAGTCACATACATCTTGATCCTGTTCCATTGCTTTTGATAGAAGTTAGGGTTTTCTCACTAGGATCCCTGGGAGGCTTAGCCCTTGTGGTAGTGACAAGCCTGCTGTCAACATTGTAATGTGTTGTCCTGGCTTCCTTTACTCTTTTAGTATTTTGCAAATGGCTGATGTTCTGAAACATAGAGCAGGATATGAATGCTTAAATGCCAAAAATGCAAAAGCTGGTTCCAAGATGGCGGCCGTGTAGGAAGCCGTATCGGATCACGGGGAAAGAAGTAACCAAACTAAGTAGGAAAGTACTAGGAGAGGGGGGGGAGGGAGGAAAAAGAAGCAGGAAGTTAGATAAGGAAGATAGAAAGGATAAAGGAAAAGAAGTTGGGGTAAGGAGGAAAACACCAGCAAACAGGAGTGCAGCCAATGAATGGCTGCACATGGAGTCGGAGGCAGCCGGCAACAGAGAATGAGGGAGCCAGCTCCGGAGCATAGCTAAGCAGCCCAATGCTGGAAAAAAAAGGCAACTGGGAGCAGTGAACCAGCATCTGAACAGCAGACAAGGAGGGAAACTGTTGGAAGCAGTGAACTGGTGGGTCGTAGCATTTATTCAGCAATTGCCTAGACCCAAACCCCAATCAAGGCAGCCCAGCTCAAGGGGGCGGCCAGGCAGCCCAACTCAGGGCCCAGCAAAGCAGGGACAGCCTGACTTGCACAGCCCTCTCCCTGCCTCCTTCCAGCCCCGCAGCCCTCCCCAGGGGAGACTTGCCTCAGGTGGAGGACTGGATCAGCATTCCCTCCCCAGCAAGATCAGCAGCCCCCTCCCCCCGCCTCCTGCTAGCCTGATCTGGCAGAAGACAAAAGGCCTACAGCAGTGATGGTGAACCTTTTAGAGACCGAGTGCCCCAAACCCGCCTCGCCCCTGCCCCGTCCCTGCCTCTCGTGCCCGCAGGGCCACCCACCGCCTCCACGGCCCATCACAGCAGATCGCCCAGGCGGCCCAGCAGCATCATGGTGGCCACGCCCTCTGTCCACACCCTGCAGCAGCATCTGACTGCGATGGGGCACGAGGGCGGAGTCTTGTCCTTGCTGCCCGGCTGCCATGTCCTTGGCTGTGCTGCTCTGCACAGGTTGCTCCCAGGGCAATTCTCCTCCGGGGGGGCTGCTAGTGAGGAGGAGGCCACGAGGTGGCGGGGCTGGGGCGACAGCGTGCGTGCCCACAGAGAGGGTTCTGAGTGCCACTTCTGGCACGTGTGCCATAGGTTCGCCACTACTGGCCTACAGCAATGTGAGGAATTGGAGGCAGCAAAACCTGAGGGAGGAGGAGAAACGCAGCAGCAACAACAGTGATGCTTCAAGCCTCTCAAACTGAGTGGCCGGCTGAGAGGAGCAGACCAGACAGAGCAACTGAGCCGACTGGAAAGCTGAACGGAGGTCTCACCAGAGCAGACACGAACACCAAAGACAGAAGGGAGCTGGCAGAGAAAACAGCAAGAGGCTGGAGCAGCGATCAACAGAAGTGAAGGCAACAACTAAGTTTGAAGTCCCAATAGGGAGAGAAGACCCCAAGTAAAGAACAAAAAAAAAATTGGAGCTTAAAAACTTTAAAAAAAATAGAGGGAAGAAAAGGATAAATAAAATTAACATAATGAAAGAAGGTTAAATAAATAACAAAGTAGAAAAACGAGCACAAACAGGCAGATAAAAGGATACTAAAAAAACCAGGCACAATTACCTAGAACAGAGAAGGAAGAAACAAGGCTAACAGCAAAGCACATTCACCAACCAAAAAGAGGGATTTTCAAACAACAAACTCATGGAACAGGCGACTGGTACGATTGTGGTATGCAATACATGTTCCATGTGTGTGCTTGTGCCCAGAGAACACCCAAATTATGCATGCATTAGAGGTAAACTATGTGAACTATTAGAGGAAAAAGTAAGGCACTTAAGAGGCAACTCTAGCCAAACCCCAATCTATGAAAGAAAGCTATACCCCAGTGATGGCGAACCTTTTAGACACCAAGTGCCCAAAAACTGCCCCGCCCGCCCGCAGGGCCAACTACCACCTCCACGGCCCACCGCAGATCACCCATGTGGCCATGTAGTGCCATGGCGGCCACACCCTCCACCTGTGCCCTGCAGCAGCATCTGCGTGCGATGGGGCGCGAGGGCGGAATCTTGTCCCTGCTGCCCGGCTGCCATGTCCTTCACCGCACTGCTCCGCGTGGGCCGTGCCTTTGGATGACTCTGGGGGGCTGCTGGTGAGGAGGAGGCTGCGGGGGGAAGCGGGGTTGGGGTGACGGTGCCTGTTCCCGTGCCCAAAGAGAAGGCTCTGAGTGCCGCCTCTGGCACGCGTGTCATAAGTTCGCCACCACTGCTATACCGAACCCGAACCAAATAATGAACAAATAACTCCCAGAGGATTTGACCCTACTGATAAACCCTTGGAGGAAGACAAATGGAGGTATGTCACAAATAGAAGGAAACACAATACTCAAAGAAAGAAACAGCATACAACTAACCCCTTCTTCCCAACCCAACCCAACCCAAACAGAAGCAGTCCCATTAAAACTGAGCGATTGATTTTTCCCCCTAGATCAAAACACGCAGACCCACAACCTCCCCCTCAAAGAAAATATGCAGATACCTAGCAAAAAAACAACTTCAAATATCCCTAAAAAAGTCACTTCTAATATCTCTAAAAAAGTCACATCAACAAACACACCTGAGATAAACAGAAAATCACCCCAGACTGCAGCCCCTGAAAAAGGAAGGTGAGTGTTGGTAATAGGAGATTCTATCCTCAAAGGAACAGAATCATCCATCTGCAGACCAGACATACAATCCAGGGAGGTATGTTGTCTTCCTGGAGCAAAAATCAAAGATGTGGCTGAGAAACTAACCAAAATTATTAGGCCTACAGATTACTACCCTTTCCTCTTTCTCCACATTGGGACAAATGACACAACTAAGAAGCTGAGTACAATAGTAAGAGATTACAAACAACTAGACAATAAAGTTAAGAAGCTAGGAGCACAAGTAGTGTTCTCATCAGTACTCCCAACAAAAGCCCAACATCCATTGAGGGGGAAAAGAATTTTACAAATAAACTATTAGCTAAAGGGTTGATGTCACCAAGAAAACTTTGGTTTCCTGTATCATGGACTGCGTTTCCAAAGTGAAGGATTCTTGGCAAGGGATGAGCTGCACCTCACGAAAACAGGGAAAAGTGTACTCAGAAAAAGACTGGCCCAACTGTGGAATGCTTTAAACTAAAATTGAGGGGGAAGGGTGACCAATTTTTAGAATCTCTAGAATCCCAAACCAATCATAAATCCCCAAAAAACAAATCAAACAATGAGGTAGGCAGTGATGAGAAAAAAGAAAAACTCAAACAAAATCAGGAGATGCAGGAAACATATCCACGGACATAAAAGTCTTAAATGCTTATATACAAATGCTCAAAGCTTGGGGAACAAACAGGGCGAACTAGAAGCAATAGTACACGAGGGAGGGTATGACCTAGTTGGCATTACAGAAACCTGGTGAGATGGACGGATGGATACAAATTGTTCAAAACAGGTCTACAAAAAGAGGAGGGGGAGTTGCACTATACGGTATGTAAGAGAACACTACATATCTACAGAAATGCACATGATCAAAGATAAAATCTCTCCAGAATATATATGGGTCAATATAAAAGAGAAAAAAGTGACATTGCCATAGGAATATATTACAGGCCACCCAACCAATCAGAAGAAATAGATGAACTTTTTGCCAACCAGTTAACAAATGTAGGTAGGAAGCATACCACATAGTAATGAAAGACTTCAACTATCCAAGTATCAACTGGGAGACAAACTCTGCAGCGAGCGGGAGATCAAACAGATTCCTAACCAACCTAGCCAACAACTTTGTCATCCAAAAGGTGGAGGAGGGAACTAGACGTAAAACTATACTGGACTTAATTCTTACTAATAGAGAAGTGATAGAGGGAGTTGAAGTTGCCAGAAACTTGGGTGAAAGTGACCACATCATACTGGAATTTAATATAATGCAAACACTAGTAATAGAAAACAATCCAACCAGTGTCTTAAACTTCAAAAGAGCTGACTTTAACAAACTCAGAGAGAACCTAGGAAAGATCCCATGGATGAAAGTCCTAAAGGGGAAAACAACCCAAGAAGCATGGGAAACTCTGAAAAATGCGATCATACAAGCTCAGACCAGCACAATACCACTGAAAAAGAAAAACCAGAAACTCAAGAAGAAACCAACATGGCTGCACAAAGATCTCTCTGACAAACTGAAAGACAAAAAGGACAAATACAAAAAATGGAAAGAGGGGCACATAACTAAGGCCGATTATCAGCAGACAACCAGAACATGCAAAGATGAAGTCAGGAAAGGAAAGGCTCAGAATGAACAAAGACTTGCAACAGAAATAAAAGGCTAATAAAAAAGTTTCTTCCAACATATTAACAACAAGAAAAAAGTCAAGGAAACTGTAGGTCCACTAAAGAAAGAAGATGACAAGGAAACAACAGGCAACAGGGGGAAAGCAGAGTTGCTTAACTGATATTTTGCATTAGTCTTCACACAAAAAGAAACTATAGCCCAACATACCAAAAAAAACCACTGCAAAAGACAAACTAGAAACAAAAATTAAAATAAGGAAGAAAATGGTAAGAGAACATCTATCCGACCTTGACAAATATAAATCACCGGGACATGACAGATTACATCCCTGCCCCTGAGCGTCCCACCGGCATTAGTGCCGCCCATAGTGTCCCGCCAGCACTAGCACCGCCCCATTTGCAGCACTTGCCCCGTTTGCATGTGTGCATGTGCTTGTGTGCAGCCGTTTGTATGTGCGTATGCGCTCACATGCAGCCCATTTGTGTGCGCGTGCACGGGGCTCATTTTTGCACATGCACATGTGCGGCCCATTTGCATGTGCGCACGTAGCGGTGTCTGCCTCCCTTTCCGGGCCGCCAAATCAAAAAGTTTGGAGACCTCTGGAATAGACAACATCACCACCAGATGGATCTGTAGCTGACTGGCAAACCCTACTTAACGAGTAGTCCTCAATGGCACTACATCCACATGGGGAGAAGTAAGCATTGGGGTACCACAAGGTTCCGTCTTAGGCCCAGTATTCTTCAATATCTTCATAAATGACTTAGATGAGATAATTGAAGGGGAACTCATCAAATTTGCAGATGACACCAAACTGGCAGGAGTAGCCAACACCCCAGAAGACAAACCCAGGATCCAAAAAGATCTTGACAAACTTGAACAATGGGCCCTATCCAACAACATGAGTTTCAGTGTGGAGAAAAGCAAAGTTTTACATTTAGGCAGGAAAAATCAAAGGCACAAGTACAGATTGGGCGAGACCTGGCTTAAAAACAGCAACTGTGAGAGAGACCTTGGATCCTAGTGGACAATCACTTGACTATGAGCCAGCAATGCGCAGCAGCAACCAAAAAAGCTAATACAATCCTGGGTTGTATAAACAGAGGCATAGAATCAAGATCACACAAAGTATTAGTACCGCTTTATAAAACCCTGGTAAGATCACACCTGGAATACTGCAGCCAATTTTGGTCACCATATCACAAAAAAGATGTTGAGTTTGGAAAAAATTCAGAGAAGAGCAATTAGGATGATCACACATCTGAAGAATGATTACAGGACTTGGATTTGGCTAGTCTAAAGAAAAGAAGAAATAGGGGTGACACAATAGCAGTATTCCAGTATTTGAGGGGCTGCCATCAAGAAGAGGGGGTCATGTTATTCACCAAAGCACCAGAGGGTAGGACAAGAAACAATGGTTGGAAACTGACCAAAGAGAGAAGCAACCTGGAATTAAGGAGAAACTTCCTGACAGTGAGGACAATTAACCAGTGGAACAGCTTGCCTCCAGAAATCATGGGCGCTCCATCACTGGAGATTTTTAAGAAGAGGCTGGGCAGTCACTTGTCTGAGATGGTATAGGTCCTCCTGCTTGAGCAGGGAGCTGGACTAGAAGATCTCCAAGGTCCCTTCCAGCTCTATTCTATTCTAAATCAGACTGGTACTAAGTTATGGCTGGCATATGACAGCCAGAGATAAAGCTGGAGTTGTCTGGCTGTTCCAATGTCTATCTGCTCTCAATCTCTAACTCAAGATTATTACAATATGCAAATTAAACCCCAACTGATATTTTCAGTACTAGTCTCAAGGAAATTCAGGCCTAAGTGGATAAGCCCTGTGATATAGTTGAAATGCTTCCAGAAATGAAATACAATTCTGCATCTGTAACATGAAAAGTTCATGGTAAAACATATATAGTGTACATACTTTATTTCTTTTGAAAGCACAAACGCATCCTTGTTACATAATCTACAGTAACATTCAACAGTTGTATAAAAACAAGACAAGGGTCTTCCAACAAAAATACACAGCAACAGGCCTCACAGAACAGCCTGTGTATCTTGTGCATGCTTATCTGTTGCTCAGTGATAAGGGGTAATTAACACTTAGGCTCCTTGGTGCTCTCTGAGCTTGTTTGTTTTCTTGCACTGATGATATTACCTAGTTTGGTTAAGGAAATGTCTGCAAGAAAACAATCAAGCTCAGAGAACACCAAGGATCCTTCCTTTCAACCTTGAGCTACAAATATTGTTTTATTGGTACATCCAGGCTCCCCTACTTCCAAAAGTCTAGAATGGAAAATAGTGTTGCTCAGACCAGGGCACTTACATGTTGTGTCTAACACTGGATCACAATCTACTTTCATCATTGTGATTTCTGTGCAGTTCATAATCCAAGAAAAACATATAAATTTATCTGATTGTGCCAGTGTGCTACTGTAGGGACACAGATCTGTTTATAGCTGAAGGCCATTGTACATAAAACATTAGAAATCAGAATACAGACATCTGAAATTAATGTTGACAAATTTTAATTCTTTTGTGTTTTTTCAGATGCAAATTGAATTTATACAGCAAGGAAGCATGAACTTTAGATTCATTCCTGTCCTCTTTCCCAATGCAAAAAAGGTAATATGACAATGGCAGAATAATTCCATTTTGGTGTTTGTTGAAAATTTAAATTAGATATATAACATTTAAAAAAATATTTGGGAATGTTAAGTAAATCCCTTTTTGGATTTAGAGAAATGTTTCACAATATTCTTAAAACAGAAAAATAATTTATATCAAACTTATTAATGGACAAAGCATTTTTTATTTTGAAGTGTCTAAGAGTTAGCACCAATTTCCCAAAATAAAAAGGATTTTATTTTTCTTAGTACCTTAATTTTCTGTTTTATCTAGAGATAAAAGTGGGACAGGCATAACCCAACAAAAACTACATCACTTCAATTGTCCATTCATTTTTACCTGCTTAAATCTTTCTTGTTCATCTTGAAGAACACCATTTGGTTAAAATAAATTTTGTTTTGTCTTATTGTTTTATGTGATAGAGAATGAATTAAACTTAGGTTTATAATTTCCATGATTTCTAATGGATATAAGTTATTTTATATCTATACGTCTCCTCTCAATTCTTACCCAAAATCTGTTCTGCAGAATATGCAAAGATTCTGACACACCAACTAGGTTCTCATACTGTGTAGGCCAGCATATCATTTTGTAGAACTACAAAACTGGAAATAATCCAAATTAAAGCATTAGTGACACGTGGCTATCTATCACATCCAATGACGCAGAGACCACCAATCCTATGGTATTCTTCTATTGAACTACTCTTGCATTCTTATAATAATTTAAATTATTACTTGTCCTGCTGTCTGTGATAGTAATGAATAGGTCTTGGCCTTCTTCTTTGTGATATTTGGATATTTCAAGTTCTATCTTATCCTCCCACCACTTTAATCTTCTTGAAGACTGTTAATGTATCTTGTTCAAATTGCATTTGTAGTTTCCTGGGTTATCTCATTGGTCTTTTCTGAATCCCTTCTAGTTAATCTGGATTCTTCTTAAAGTATGATGCCCATAACTGGTGGGTCTGACCAATGCTTAATGAAGTAAACAGCTCCAGTGATTTGGAAACTACACTTCTAGTGATGTATCTTAGTTGACAAATCCATGTTGACTTCTTTAATTTCAGCACTATTTTCAAACATTTTTCATTCTCATTTCATTTGACACTTGATTTATTATCTCAAATTTCTCAAGATTTCATAAAAGGCATCTTTCAGTGCCCTAGGGTGACATTCATCTGACCCTGGGAATTTGAATTGATTCAAAATATAGAAAAGTTGTATTTTATCAGTCAAACACTTCAATCCTGCTCCTTGATCCTGCTCTTCACAACTGCTTAGTGAAACACATACCTGCATACTGTTTAAATAAAATGGCCAAAATGGGAGTTGACTAGTTTTGCCTTTTCTTTGTTCCCTGCTAACATTTTGTTACCTTCCTGAGAAGCTGATATACTGATTATTTTCTCTTTTATTTTGAACATTTTTAGAAGCTTTTTTTTTTTGGGGGGGGTGTCTTAAGATTCTTTGCTAACTTCAATTCATTCCAAATGTTAATTTTCCTGACATCTCTACAATTCCAGATGCTGTATTCTTCCTTTGTGACTTCTCCTTTTTTACAACATGAATCCTCGTTTGTTTTGTTATAACTTAGCACGAGGTGTGATCCTACTCATAATCATATTCAAACAGGCTACTGTATGTATGAAACTGTACAAACATTAGATCAACATTAGAAAAATAACAAAATAAGCCCTCCTGCTCCCCTTCTAATATCACATACGAGGAAATGTAGGAACCATTATCTCTTTCTAAATTTTCCTTAATCAGCATGGGAAAACTTGCTACCATCATCTAAAATAAGTTAATCAAGATCCTCCTGAAGCTTGGCTATCAGAGCTATAAGGGTGCTACATAACTCTATTGTACCTCAACATTGTAACTATGGAATGCAGATGTATTTATAGGACATTACAGCTGAATGATGTAAAAAGCAATAAACATGCTGGAAAAATGCTTCATACAGGTGATTTCACAAGGAAATCCAAAGCTTAACTAATTGCTTAGTTTGTTGGCAAAGACATATGAGGAAGGCTGGGGAATTCATTTCAAATGTGGAGTCTGTAACTCTAATGGGGAGTATGTCTCAAAGGCTGCTATAAAGAATCAGGTGGGATTATATATTGCTTCTTTCTGTCTTCTTTCCTACCCATACTCGTCCCTCTCTTTTTGACCTTTCTTTCTCCACAGGAACATGTACCTATCTGGCTTCAGAATACTCGCATCTACCATTGGCCTTGGAATAAAAAGAATATTCTGTTGCGGTTGCTGAGAGAAGAAGAGTATATCGCACCTCCAATAGGACCTCTGCCCACGCTCCAGGTTGTTCCATTAGGAGCACACATCTGAAGCACACATGGACTAAATGTTGTATGATTCTCTTGGCTTATGGCCAGGATTTTCCTGGCTCCTCTTCTGGGTGATGAGCGGCATGATGAACAGACTCTCCCCTTCCCACCACAAATGGAATTGTCTTGGGGTGCAGCAAGCCAATGTGTTTTCTTCCCTTCTGAATGTTTCTTTCTGATGCTGATCAGGCACATTGCTACATTTCAACAAACTGCAAATGGAAAAATATATTTCATGATGGTTGCTTTTCTTCTGTCTTGACCAACATTCCAAGTCTGCGGCAAAGCAAACAAACACTAGAATGAGGCTGAATATGCAAAAAAAAAAAAGGATACTCCTGTTGGCTCACAGCACCTTTTGTTGTCAGACAGATGAACATATATTGTAAAACAATATCACAAAGCTGTTTCATGTACACGATAAAGGAGTTACTTTTCACATGGACTGCCATTTTCATGGTAAGAAAAACATGAGAGTTTAATGTTTTTATTGTTGGTAAGCATAATCATGATCTTCAAGGATGCTATTTAGTTAGGCACTTGACTTATCTTTTTAAACATAGTTGGCAGATGATCCACAACATAATTAAGAATATTCTTTCTCTTGCTCTGTCTTCTAGAGCAAAGCCATGTATTTCATTTCCCATATGGCTGTTCTCAAAAGGAATACCTATCATAGGGTCTCCCTAATAACAGATACTATTGCTTACAATAATGGTTTAACATCTCTTTATCAATAATAGCAAACTATGAATATGCTAGGGAATATCTGCTAAGGTGACATGGAGAAGAGCAAGCTGTTGTTCAGAGGAAGAGGTAGGCAGCAAGAAACCTCAGTAGCCTTTTGGAAGAATTATGGTAGCCATCAGCACTAACATGGCCAATAGAATAGTGTATTATCGCTATCTGCTAGGATCTCCTAGTCATTCAGCAACAGATCTTCCAATTGTCCCACAGATCTAATGGTGCCTACTGTCCTCTTGTCACTCAGTCAGAACACTCTGTTATTTCTATCTCCTCACTCAAAAGTACCATTATCTTGGACTAAGCCTCTCTAATTGCTTGAGATTTCTTTTACTTTTCCCTAACCCGGTATCCTCCTGATATGTTAGAGACTATAGCTTCCATCAAGTAGAAGGCACCAATCTGAGGACTACTCAGAATATAAGGACATCAGGTCATAGGATTATACATATCTATAGAAATACTGAATGTGGATATCATAACTATAAGTAGAATATAACAATGAGAGTGTTTCTTTTTTTAAAATAATAATACCGGTAATAATAAAGCTACTGCATACAGAGTGGGAGCAGCACTGTCTTTGGTATGAGGACAAGCCAATAATTTGTCAGTTAGACATAAATTACCAGCGACATAAGAAAGGCTATCAGGAATTCTGCAAAGCCAATTCCGTTAAAAATAAAATGAAATGGGTGTCTTGCTGCTTTCAGAAAGGTTATACACCAGCTAAGATGAGGCGATCCAACATCCTTCTGCCTGATGTTTCTTTACATTTAAAGTTCACTTTGGCCATGCCTGTATAAAAGGTACTACCACATACCTTTTACATACATACCTGTATCTTTGCAGCAGACTGAGTTAGCTCTAGATCTGTTCTTGCAAATATTGTGTCCAAAATCTGATTTATTGATCACCTTACTGCATTGTATATTAAATCCCAGCCAGCTACATTTCTCTTCTTGAAGTGTACGGCATTTCTAATGAGCTTCTGGGAGGTCTATTCCCTCAGTGTTGGGAACATTCACCACACCCAGGTCTTTTCTCTCATTTACCACTGTTTTCATTATTTTGACAATTATTGTAAGTAAGCCCTGCAGTGTTCTTTAGGAACTGGAAAGTAGAAAAACTGGTGCAAATGCTACACTGCAGAAATGCCCATAATTGTACATCAAGGAAGGGCCCTCACAACATTCACATCTCTGAACCTTTACAGTTCACTTTAAGATGGAGAGGATGATAAACTTTTGGAAAGATACTTATACTTTACAGTATTCATCTCAGAACCGCTGAGATACTGTACCAATAATTGCTCATTTCTCATAGTGTAGGCTCAAAATAGATATTTTTCACTCTTAACAATGGAGTCAGTAGCAGGGCTGAGATCATAGCACATGACAGGGGAGATGGTGGTGGTGGGGGAAAGGGTTAATGTAGGCAATCTCCTTCCTTTGTGGTTCTGCAAAAAATTGTATTCCTAGAATAACAGTAAGTCCAGGAGAAAAGCATGTACTAGTTAAAAAAGAAAAAACAAACTGGTTATTCCATCTTTAGGTTTTGCTTAACACAATTTAAATGAGAAAGCCAAGACCTATTACTACATGTGAAACGAGATAAACAAAGGTGCTTAGTCCAAAAAGCTACTTAATTTAAAAGGGCTCTTGTTAAAAACCCAGTGTCTCTTATCTTGTGTTAGCAGAGCAGAAATCAGAATGACTGCTAATTCTAACTACAGCAAAGTTCAAAGGGAGAAATAATTCGTAGCTGTGCAACAGAAAAAAGGCAGATTGTTGAAGGAGAAAGATAATTACTATAATTTATCACATGTCCACATTAATGAAGCTTAGCTGAATACCTGGGTTTTAAAAGAAGCAAAGCTGTATAGCAACAAGCAGAAAATAACCACTTATAGTCCCCTTATCACACACACAAAAAAAAACAATTTTGTTTACTTTCAGATATAAGTGTAACCTTTTGCAGACTGAAATAAATGCAGTGGACAGATTTGCAAAAGAAGCTATATAGATTCTGGTCATTATGTTGAATGATTGTTCTTGAAAGCATGACAAAGGCTAGTGCTTTTCATCCAATTGTTCTGATGTTATTACAAGGTCCAAATTGCAACAGAATATCTTGAGTTCTTAGAGTTAAAGGTATGATTTCTAAGGAAGTGAGAGGAGTAATTCCACAGTATTTAAGGCCGGATATACAGATACTGTAATGATAGTATATATGTTTTTCAAGGTTCCCTTTAGCTGAAAAGGACAATCAAAAGGAGGACAGGCAAGTGTTCCCATAGTCTGCCTGTGTTTAACAGATCTTTTCTCTGATTCCAAAGTGCTTTGTGGCCATTATTAAAACTCCTTGCAGTAACGCAAAGGTGCTTATTAAAGGCAACTGGATTTTCTTGGTTTTTTTCCTTGAAAACATTTCACTTCTCATCGAAGAAGCTGCTTCAGTTCTGGCTGAATGGTGGGGAATGGAAGGATTTATATTCCTTAGCAGTCATCCTTAGCATCCTTAGAAGGAACATAAATCCTTCCATTCCTCACCATTCAGCTACAACTGAAGAAGCTTCTTGGAAAAGAAGTGAAACTTTTCAAGGAAAAAAACCAAGAAAGTCCAATTGCCTTTGATAAGCACCTTTGGGACAATCATGAACTACTAGGTCAGGGCTTTTCAACCTTTTCACCCATTGTACCACTTTTAGCAACATCCGAGTACCACCAGTCGCCTAGCAAGGTGTCAAAAACTTGATGACAAAAAAAAGGAAAAAAGTGATAAAGTACAGGTAGTCCTCGACTTACAACAGTTTGCTTAGTGATTGTTCTAAGTTACAGTGGCACTGAAAAAAGCGCCCCCCAAGCCCCAGCTGAGCAAGACACCTGCCTGCCCGCCCGGCAGCGCTCTTCCTCCTGTCCGAGGTTTTCATTGTTGTGAGCATTTCTGTTGAGGATTGGCAGCGGGGGCGGGATGGGGGAGTGTTTGGTTTTTACTCCCCCCGTCTGCTGGGTGGTTGCAGCAGGGTTTGGTCTCTTCACATGACCCTGGGACACTGTGACCGTCATAAATATGAATCAGTTGCCAAGCATCTGAATGTAAATCACAAGACCCGGAGAGGCTGCAACATTCCAGCTGATTGGCGCTTCTTCTGGGCTCAGCAGAAACGCCAGGATCAGTGCTGCTTTCCAGCTGATTGGTGCTTCTTCAGGGCTCAGCAGAAGCACCAGGATCAGTGCCGAGCTCCAGCTGCAATCTGGCACTGATCCTGGTGTTTCCGCTCAGCACTGACAGCCCTGCAGCTCCAGCCATCTCTCGCTCAGGCTTGTGCGGTGCTGCCACCGGTTCAGCTCATTCCCCTCCCCCGCTACTACTTTTCTAGGATGGTCGCGTACCACCTGCCAGGTGCCAATGTACCACAGGTGGTACCCGTACCACTGGTTGAAAAGCCCTGTACTAGATGATTAAGAATCTCCACAGATACTCCTTGCAGTAACAGTTCTGACCTATATTAATATAAATGTCTTATCGGCTACTATTCTAGTGATGCTTGGATTCCTGTAGACCAGACCTTGTAGATTTAAAAACTGCACAAAGCATTCAACTGGCATTTATTCAAAAACACTTCACAATATATTAAAACTAATAATTCAGTGCATTTTGTTGTTTCCAAGGCAATGTGAAAATTGTGGATCTTAACCCTCAGTAATAAAGCACATGCTTGGGACAGAGAAGCTGGGTTTATATAACCAGTTAAAACATTATTGCTAGTTTGGATCCAATACTGTCCAACCTCAGCCAGTGTAGTTTATCATTCAGTATATTATCAGATTGGCAAACTAATAGTTTAATAAATCATAGTTCAGATACATTGAGCCACAAATTAATCAGCCACATTTTAGTCTATGAACTCAGTCCATGCTATTTGTTTATAGTTCAATAAGCTATGTAAACACAGAAAATTGGGCTAATTGAGTATACTGTGATTAAGTTTATCTTTTTAAATTTATTTCTGATAGTAAGTTTATTAAAGATTACAATTATAACAATAAAAACTAATATAAACTAAAAAGGAAAAAGGAAAAGATGCAGAAAAGAAAGAGAATAGGTAATAGAAAAGAAAAAAATATGAATATAGTGAAGGAAAAGATGCAGAAAAGAAAGAGAATAGGTAATAGAAAAGAAAAAAATATGAATATAGTGAAGAAAAAGAAATCTATAAAGACGTTACTTCTCCATCACAAGTATAAACAATTTCAGTAACTTATTACCTTTTATTAAACTATAACAAATAGATCTCTTCTTTCCATATCCCATTTCTTATCTTATCTATAAACTTCATCATTTTACTCCTGATTTCAGCAAAAGTCCATTAAGAGTTATTAGAGATAACATATTTACTTTAACCTTGATCAAAACCACCAACTTTATATTACTTCCTTTTACTTCTAACAATCTTGATCTTAATGTTATGGAACTTATTACTTATTCTTTGCCCATCTCACAAAATTCTTCAAAAATTTTAACAAGAGTCTTTGTAAATCCAATATAGGAACATTATCCAAGTCATTTTCTTGGGTTGCTATTTGTATATACCTTTTAATTATTATATCAGCTGATTTCTTTGTTCAGTATAACATCTTTTCCATATCATTCTTGTACCCACTTTTAAATCAGTCTCTAACTTGTCAGGGAGAA